CATGATCAGCATTTCCAGTCAGCAGTAACATGCTGATGATGACGGGACATGTTTAAGTGATAGGTTTTTTGTTTTTTTTTATAATAAATTTATTTGAAAAGCTTATAAAATTGTAATGATTTGAATATGAAGGTGTAAAAGACAAGAGTCTGTGGTAAAAACATGTGTTAAAACTTTATAGACTAGACTATAGACTATACTATAGACTGGACTATAGACTAGACTATAGACTAGACTATAGACTAGACTATAGACTAGACTATAGACTATACTATAGACTAGACTATAGACTAGACTATAGACTAGACTATAGACTAGACTATAGACAAGACTATAGACTAGACTATAGACTAGACTATAGACTAGACTATAGACTAGACTATAGACTAGACTATAGACTAGACTATAGACAAGACTATAGACTAGACTATAGACTAGACTATAGACTAGACCATAGACTAGACTATAGACTAGACTATAGACAAGACTATAGACTAGACTATAGACAAGACTATAGACTAGACTATAGACTAGATATAGACTAGACTATAGACTAGACTATAGACTAGACTATAGACTATACTATAGACTAGACTATAGACTAGACTATAGACTAGACTATAGACTAGACTATATACTAGACTATAGACTAGACTATAGACTAGACTATAGACTAGACTATATACTAGACTATAGGCTAGACTATAGACTAGACTATAGACTAGACTATAGACTAGACTATAGACTAGACTATAGACTAGACTATAGACTAGACTATAGACTAGACTATAGATTAGACTATAGACTAGACTATAGATTAGTATATAGACTAGACTATAGACTAGGCTATTGATTAGACTATAGACTAGACTATAGACTAGACTATAGACTAGACAATAGACTAGACTATAGATTAGACTATAGACTAGACTATAGACTAGACTATAGACTAGACTATAGATTAGACTATATATTAGACTATAGACTAGATTATAGACTAGACTATAGACTAGACTATAGATTAGACTATAGACTAGACTATAGACTAGACTATAGACTAGACTGTAGACTAGACTATAGACTAGACTATAGATTAGACTATAGATTAGACTATAGACTAGACTATAGACTAGACTATAGACTAGACAATAGACTAGACTATAGACTAGACTATAGACTAGACTGTAGACTAGACTATAGACTAGACTATATACTAGACTATAGACTAGACTATAGACTAGACTATAGACTAGACTATAGACTGGACTATAGACTAGACTGTAGACTAGACTATAGACTAAACTAAGACTAGACTATAGACTAGACTATAGACTAGACTGTAGACTAGACTATAGACTAGACTATAGACTAGACTATAGACTAGACTATAGACTAGACTATAGACTAGACTATAGACTAGATTATAGACTAGACTATAGACTAGACTATTCTTTAAAATATATTAAAGATGTGACTTTACAATATAGGCTAGCTTATAGACTAGAATATATAATAGATTATAGGTAATAGTACATTCCAGGGTATAGACTAGACTCTTGGCAGTGAGTATCTGTGTTACAATTTTGTAACCTTTGTATACATAACTTTTACAATAATCTAACAGAAATAATTATTTTAAAGATTTTCACACAAACGTAATTTTTTTCATTCCATGTTAAAATAATTTATAATTTTTTTGTTTGGTCTTACCCAGAAATCATAAAAATGTCATCTCATGTTATTTTTTTATATTTAGCTCAACTCTGGGTGTTAATTTTTTTTACTATTTCTTTTTTATTCTCATCCCAAATAAAACAGAATTTTAAATTCAACTACTAAAAGCATTTGTCCCGTTATGAGGAGGGTTTTTTGTAACATTTAAACCAAAAAAAAAAAAACTAAAATAAATGGAGAAGATTAAAAAAGTGTACGCTTTGTGACAGTCTTGCTTAATTCATTTTATTTTTGCTTTTTTAGCAAAACTATGTACAAACATACAAATTAAATTATAAATGAAATTAATTCAATTTTATAAAAACTTTATTCTCACTTATTTCTCCCGTTGGAAATTGTCAAATACATAGTACATTTATGTATTAAAATACATACACTTATATTTTTTGCTTCAACAATATTATTTTGTTTTTTTATAGTTGTTTAAACTATTGTTGTCAAACTTGAATAAAATTAAGTAAAAATTTGATCGTGAGTTTATTTTACGTTCTGTTTTCATTGTTTCCTACTTTTATACGTTAATGTCTAGTTGCTTAGTGCAGACACCCTCCACTCTAGTTGTGGTTATTAATGTTTCGCATAAAACTAAAGCATACCTTAAGGCTCTTGTAAAAATTGCAATGAAATTTGTATACAGTACTTTATGATATTAAAATAAATTTTAAGTGACGTTGTTTTTATGCACAAACTATGTTTACGCGCGCGTTTAAATATTTTGATAAAATAATGTTTTCGCCCCACAGTATATATAGTGCTATAGTTCCTAAAAATGCTAAATATTTTTAATAAAGATTTTCTATTAATAGAACTCGTTTGCTATTGAAAATTGCAATATCACTTCACAATTATTTGACTTTGGGATAGAATATGGGCTAGTCATTGACCAGTCCATGGAATAGTATATTGCCTAGCCTTTGAAACTTTCTATTTACTAGTGTATAGACCAATCTAAGAATAAGTTTATAGAAATTAACTATTAACTAGTGGATTTATTAGTCTATAATATATCAATAAACTGTTTAACTAGTATATTAAATCGTGTATGGAATAGTCTATGAAATAGTTTATTTACTGGTCTATAGACTAATCTATTGATTAGTATATGACGTAGTCTATAGTGTATCGACAAGTATATAGAACTGTCCATTCACTATTGAGTAGTCTATGGACAAGTCTATTAATCTATAGTATATAAACAAGTCTATTTCACCTAATCTATAGTGTATCGACAAGTATACGGAACTGTCTATTAACTAGTCTATAGACAAGTCTATTGACTAGTCTATTAAATAGTCTATTGACTAGTTTATTGAATCGTGTATTGAATTGTCTATGTGATAGTTTATTGTCTAGTCTATAGACTAATCTATTGATTAGAATTTGACCTAACCTATAGTGTATCGACAAGTATATGGAACTAGCTATTCATTAGTCTATAGACAAATCTATTGACTAGTCTATTGACAAGTCTATTGACTAGTCTATGAACAAGTCTATTGACTAGTCTATGGACAAGTCTATTGACTTGTTTATGACCAAGTCTATTGACTTGTTTATGACCAAGTCTATTGACTTGTTTATGACCAAGTCTATTGACTTGTTTATGACCAAGTCTATTGACTAGTCTATGGACTAAACTATTAACTAGTCTGTTGACTGGTCTATTGATTAGTCTTTGAATCAGTCTACAGTATATCGACAAGTCTATTGACTAGTCTAGAATAGTCGATTGACTAGTCTATGAAATAGTCTATTGTATAAGTATATGGAATTGTCCATTCACTAGTGTATGGACAAGTCTATTGAGTAGTATATGGACAAGTCTATTGACTAGTGTATCGATATGTCTACTTACTAGTCTATGGAAAAGTCTGTTGACTAGTCTAGGTCTATTGACTTGTTTATGACCAAGTCTATTGACTAGTCTATGGACTAAACTATTAACTAGTCTATTGACTGGTCTATAGTATATCGACAAGTCTATTGACTAGTCTAGAATAGTCGATTGACTAGTCTATTGAATCGTGTAATGACTAGTCTATTGAATCGTGTATTGAATTGGTTTTTGTCTAGTCTATAGACTAATCTATTGATTAGTATTTGACCTAATCTATAGTGTATCAACAAGTATATGGAACTGTCTATTCACTAGTATATTGACAAGTCTATTGACTAGTCTATGGACAGGTCTATTGACTAGTCTATGAACAAATCTATTGACTAGTCTATGAACAGGTCTATTGACTTGTTTATGACCAAGTCTATTGACTTGTTTATGACCAAGTCTAGTCTATGGACTAAACTATTCACTAGTCTGTTGATTGGTCTATTGTTTAGTCTTTGAATCAGTCTATAGTATATCGACAAGTCTTTTGACTAGTCTAGAACAGTCTATTGACTAGTCTATGAAATTAGACTAATCTATTAACTTGTAGAGTAGTCTTTTGATTAGTCTATGGTCTAGTCTATAGTATATCGACAAAAATAGTCTATTGACTAGTCTATATAGTAGTCCATTATGAAATAGACTAATCCATTAACTAGTCTATGGAATCATCTATTTAGTAGTCTGGTGACTAGTCTGTTGACTAATCCATTAACTAGTCTATTTGTTAGTTTATGAAATCGTCTATTTACTAGTCTATGGACAAGCTTATTGAATAATCTATAGAATAATCTATTAACTAGTATGTATATTGATATACTATATTATATTGGCTTGGCTATGGATTATTTTATAGACTACTTCCTAAAGAAGAAGAAAAAAAAACTATCACTGAAATTGTAATTTAATTTGATTTACTCTATTACACTGTTAATATTGAAAACAACTAAGTCGCTTTCTACCAAAAAAAATCCACCTATTTCGTTTTATATAAAACCCATTAAAAAACTTCTTTAATTTACATAAAGATTTGGCACTCGTGGAGTTATATTTTTTTTATTTGTTTAAACATTTTCGTTTGCTCTTTTTATTATAATTATTTTGTTGTTGTTTTTGTTGCTACAGCTAAATGTTAAATTATTATATTATACATTATACACTTGTTGTTTTTAAAAAAAACTATAATTTACGCGGTTAATATAATATTTACAATTTTTTTAATAAATATTTTTGTGTTTCCCTTAAAAAAGACTTTGTTTTGTTGGTGAACCTTAAATACAAAAAAATATAATAAAATAAAAATAAAAAAATTACAATTATAAAATAAAACTTATTAAATACGAATTTGGTTGTTTACAATTATTAATAGTAGTGGTTTTTGTAAATCTTATTAAAAAAGATTAAATTTTATTTTTCAATTTATAGTTTTTTTTTTTTTTTGTTTGTTATCGTTTGCTTTAGGATGAGACTCTTTATTGGCGGCTCAGTCATAAAAAATAAAACATTAAATTAATTTTTTAATAAAAAATAATAATAAAAAAAACTTAAACAATATTTTGAACCTGTTCAAAATTTTTTTTAAATAATTTTTTTCTCATTGTTGTTGTTTGTTTTGTAACTTAAATCATAAACTTAAAACTTAACGAATGTCTATGACAACAAAGAAGTTTACTTTTGGATTTGTGTGTGTGTATTTAAATTTTTACAAAATATTGGAAATTTGCATGTTTTGGAATCAATCGTTGGCCATGCAATAACCGGAATATGTTTGAATATTATCTTCCAAAAATGTTTCACCAGCTATAACGCCCGACTGCGTATGATGGCTGGGACAGTGATGTCCTTTGGGACACTGACACAAGGCATTGATGTTGACCTCATCAATGAACTCTTGACGTTTTCTCACTGTAAACAGTTTACAGGGTTGTTTGCGTTGACATCTCAAGCGCTGTAAAAGCAAAAGGGACAAATTAAATTTGATTTCAAATTTCAATTAAAATCTTAAACTTACCGTTAAAGGAGAACACGCAAACAAATATTTATAACCCGAATTGCCATCATCCATGGGCTCTCGTTTCGTTAAATAAGTCACTGAATTCTTAGGACAGCGACAGTGAACAATCTGTTCTGTTGAGTTAACCTCAGCTGAGGTGGTCAATGTCCATGTGTAGTCGCGGAAATGTCTAAAAATACATAAATTATGTTATAAATAAAAATTTCTTGATTCCAATAAAAATCTCTAACACTTACCTACACACTGGCAGCCGATGTACAGGTTGACACAATTTATAATGTCTAGTCTTGTCGGCAATCGTATGACCGTCCTCCACACCCAAACCACTAGGGCAACCGCCAATATATTGCAATTTCTCTTGATGACCCATATGACCCGAATGTCTCATGTGTGCAGAATTTGTATACAAATGATGTTGTTCTTGCTGCTGCTGACTCTTCCTACTTAAATGGGGATATTCATTATCGTTTATCTCTTCGGTATAAAGCAAAGAACCTCCCTCCTCATTGCTAGCTAAAGCCGAATTTTCATCGTGTAATACATAATCCGAGGGTAAATTAATATCATCCTCATAAACAGCCCCCAACTTATGCATTAGTTTCTTCAAATGAATACTATCGTATTTTTTATCGCCCGCAAAACCGGCAGCATCCAAAAGCAAATGTTTATTTTGATGTAGAATTTTTGAATGTTCATAATAACTGTGATATTTTTCGGTATTATGATTCTGATGGGAGTGTGGGTCCTTATGATGATGATGTATGATAATTTCGGGTGCTCGGTTAATGGAGGGACAACGACACTGACGCTCTATCCAGGGTGTTTCATATAAATCTATCTTGGAACACACGGCATTGGGTGCACAAACGGGTAGATCGTCCTCAGAGTC